ATTACTACTATCACTACTACCACTACTACCACTACTACCACTACTACTACTACTACTACTACTACTACTACTACTACTACTACTCCTACTGCTACTACTACTACTACTACTACTACTACGACTAATACTACTACTATTACAGTACACTTCATAACTACGACTACTACTACGACTACTACTACGACTACTACTACTACTACTACTACTACTACTACTACTACTACTACTACCTGCTACTACCAACTACTACCTTCTACTACTGCTGCTACTACTACTAATAAAACTACGACGCCCACTATTACTACGACGACGACGACTACTAATACTACGACTACTACTACTACTACTACTACTACTACTACTACTACTACTACTATGCTACTACTACTACTACTGCTACTACTCTACTACTACTACTACTACTACTACTACTACTAGTACTACTACTACTACTACTACTACTACTACTGTACTACTACTACTACTACTACTACTACTACTGTACTACTACTACTACTACTACTACTACTACTACTACTACTACTACTACTACTACTACTACTACTACTACTACTACTACTACTACTACTACTACTACTACTACTACTACTACTACTACGAATACTACTACTACTACTACTACTACTACTACTACTACTACGACTACTACGACTACTACTACTACTACTACTACTACTACGACTACTACTACTACGACTACTAATAATAATAATACTACAATCTACTACTATCTACTCCTACTACTATCTACTACTACCAACTTTTACTACTACTACTACTACTACTACTACGACTACGACTACGACTACGACTACTACGACTACTACGACTACTACGACTACTACTACTACTACTACTACTACTACTACTACTACTACTACTACGACTACTACTACTGCTACGACTGTCCCCCTACAGGGGGACTCTGGACGAGAAATCAAACATACACAACAAAATGATTGAAGCAGGCTAAGAAATGCTCAAACCATCGTCCCAAACTATTGTTTGACTTTTTTGGAATAGTCCTCCTGGAGAGGCACAGGCCCGATTTGGCCGTGGCGACGAAGGTTCTCCAGGACGAGCAGCGGTATGAAGATCTGCCCCTCCTTTGCTCCTCGACCCGCCTTGTCCTCCCCCTTTCTCTTGCCATTCTCCGAACCTCCGCCCTCGGTGCTCAACGACGCCGCTCAGCCGGGCCCGAGGAGGGAAGGCCTGGCCAAGATCGGTGTGCAATCTAGCGGAAAGAGAACTATGCACATACACCGATTCTGGCCAGGCCCATCCTGAGCCCAGGATCGGTGCATGCGCCCCCCCATCTTGACTAGGAAGGTATATGCACCGATCCTGGGTCAGGGATGGGCCTTGCCAGGATCGGTGCATGTGCGTAGTTCCCTTCGCCCGATCCTCTAACTCCTGGACGCCTCATCGCCACGGACAAAAACTCGACGCGCGTGCTCGCGAGGCTCGGCCTCCCTCCGAGCTCCTCTTCCTCCTCCTCCCCCGCTTGCCGCTCTCCGCCTCCTCGATCCTCGACCCTCCTCGCGGCGCGGGAGCAACCAAAGGTACCGATGCCGCGGCTCCACGGACCTCTCCCTGGTGCGATCTGACCAGGATATCGAAGCAAATCCAGCCGTGACAACGAGGGCAGGACGAGCGGCGGCATCGGTTTTGCACGCCCGAAATGGGCACGGAAAGGAGGACGAGGAGGAGGGGGAGGAGGAGGAGGAGGAGGAGGAGGAGGGGGAGGAGGAGGAGGAGGGGGAGGGAGGAGGAAAAGGGAGGAGGAGGAGGAGTTGTTGTCCCAAACCAACAGCGGCCGCTCTTGGGCAGGCGGCCTCCTACCTCAAATGGACACAGGCCGCGGCGGCGCGCACAGCGAGTCCTGTTCAAAATGAACAAGAACTGCTGTTGGGCATTGTGCCCATTCTTTCCGTACCCGCTTCGTTGGTGCAGATGGGTACGGTCAGGGACTCTGGCTTGGCCTGTCGCCGCGGCGATCCCGGCGACACGCCATGCCCTGCGAGCGGATAGCATGTCGCTCCGCTCCGCTGGGCGGGAGGCTCGGGGAAGCGCGGGACTTCGGTGCGTGCAGAACCGCGACGTGGATGGCGTATCGCGCCGAAGCGTTGTAGACCAGAACCTGCGAAGCGACACGCCAAGCCGAAGTTCCTGAGCGCATCTTGTCCTCCGCTGATCCTCGATCCTTCGAGGCATCCTGAAAGGGGGTCGGAGCAGTTGGGATCGGAGGATTGCGCAGCATCGGCGATGCATCGGCGATGCATCGTCGATGCATTGGCGATGGCACGGCGACGTCGGCGATGCGTTGGCGCCGTCGGCGTGCAGAACCTCGGGCTCCACTTCGAACCGCACCGACGATGCATCGGCGATGCGGCGCGATCCTCTGACCCCGTCTGCTCGGACTCTCTTCGGGAGGCCCACGAACCCTCCCCTTCCTCCCCCCGCTCGGCGCCCTGCGAGCCTGCGTCTTCGGTGCTGAACGACGCCCAGTCGGGCACCTGGCTGGGGGCGGCCACGAAAGGGGGCGCCCCACGAGGGGAGGGCGGGAAGCATGGCTGGCGGCACGTGGGCGGCCCAAAGAGGGGGGCCGGAGACGCAGTGGAGTACAGGGCACTTTTTCATACATGGGATTTGGAAAAATATTGGCTTTTAATAATGATTAATGCATTCATGAATTTACGCATGACCTCATCGCTGTCTTAAATACTAAATCCCTGCATTGTAATACATGGTCCGCACGCGGAGCATGTATTAAAAACGGCACTGTAAGAAGAAGCGCCCTGAAATCCGGGGAGATATCATGGCCCCCGCCACCCCAAACATGCGACTTCCTGCTTCTTTCAGGACGGCGACCCTGAAGTCCCGACCCTCTCCCCAGGACCGGCTTCTCGTCCTGAGTCGTTTTTTCACGGTCCCGAGGCCCGGCGAGGGCCCCCCTGGGGCCGAAAATGGCAACCAATCGCCCGTCCTGATTTTTTGTTAACGACGCGATCATGTCTGGGACGAGATCCCCCCCCCCATCACCCCCCATCACCCCCGTCTTGGCCGCCCCCGACCTGGGGCACCAGCCGCACCTGCACCCGCAGGGCCGGCGCCGCGCGGTCGAGGCGCCGGCGCACGCGCTGGTAGGTGCGGAGCGCATAGAGGCGGCGGTTGCTCAGCGAGTAGAGCCGCGAGTCCTTTGGGGGGGGGAGGAACAGGAAGGGAGGGAGGGAGGGAGGGGGAGGGGGAGGGGGCAAGGTGCGCGCGCGTCAAATCTGACGTCGTACCCCTCCCTCCCATCCCTTACCATGGCGCTGATTTTCTCTATCCGCGGACGGGGGGGGGAGGAAAGGAGGGAGGGAGGGGGAGGGGGGAAGGGGGAGGGGACGGGGGAGCGGAGGGGGGGGGGTGTCAGGAGGGGTGGGGGGTAATGAAGGACGTCTGGGGCAATCTGGAAACCACTTGCGTGGTGTGTGTTGATCTGTTGCTCGAGTTATGTTCATAATGCCTTTCATGTTCTTTCGCTATCATCCTCTTCGTCGTCACCCGACCTTGCAAAATTCGCCGGCCCAACGGGCCAGAGGCGTGCTAAGATCTCCGGTAACTTGTTAACAATATTTCTAGCTCGCGCGCGCGGAGCGGCCCCTGGGGGCCCCCGGACGAAAAGTACCCCGGCAAGGTCCCGAGAGAAGCCCGGGAGAAGCTCCCAGAGCACTCCAGGGGAGGGCCATTTTTCGACACCCCTCACGAGGATCGTGGCCTCCGAGGGGGGAGCCGCAATCGACTACCCCCAAGAGCCCCCCAAGAGGCCCTGGGGGCCTCCAAAACGCCGCCAAGGAGCCCCAAGAGACTCCCAAGAGGTCCCCAAGAGGCCCCCAAGAGGCCCTAAAGAGGGCTCCAGGGCCGGCGGCATGAGCGAAGCGATTAAATAATCCGATAGCGAAGTCGCACCAAAGTATTCGATATGTAATCGGCACATGAAGAATCAACTTGTAAATTGCCAACAGGAAAGATTCCGATCGAAAAACCGCGCAAAAGGCTTCTATGTGAAACCCATACAATAAGCATACATTCGCAAATCGCCCACAAAAGGATTCGTATTGAAATGCCATGCAAAAAAAGATTCGATGTGTAATCCATGCACTAGGAAGCGGCTTGTAAATCGCCCAAAAAAGGACTTCCCTGTGAAAGGGAGCCAGAAACAATTTTGGACCCTCCGGGGGGAAAATCGATAAAGAACTAAAATCCGTCGGCTTCCGATGTTGTTTGTGTTCCGAGGGCGAGGCACGAACGACAAAACAAAAACTGGAACCGACGGATTTCAGTTTGTTCTTTGTATTTTGTTTCAGGGTGGTCCGACACTTATTATGTCTCCCTGTCAAAGGGGAATCCTTTTTGTCGGCGATGAAAGAACAGTTTTCTATTGCACGAATTACATATAGAATCCTTTTGTGCGGAATTTGAATAGGTATCCTTTTGCGGGCGATCTACAAATAGACAAGGACAAATATACTCCTCGTGTGCGGCTTTTCAATGGAATTCCTCATGTGGGAGACTTGCATATTGATTGGTTCTTTGTGGGGTGCATCGGGGTGAGCGACGAGGTCCGCGATGCTTTCTCGAGCTGGGTATCGTCGTCGTCGTCACCGTCGTCGTCACCGCTCCCGCACGCCTGAGCTTCAAGAGGGGCAGAAAGTAAATACAACTTACTACTGTAAGGATCGAAACCTCGCGGTGTCGAGTCTTTGTTCTGGATTTGCTCGCATTCTCGAGAGACGTGCGATATTCTACGAGGAGTATCCTCCTCATCGCCTCCTATTCCGTCCTCTCCTCCCTCTTCCCTCCGCCATTCTCCCTCCTCTGTCCATAGGTCCTCCCGTGCTTTCGCCCCCCCCCCCCCCTCCCTCCGTCTTTCGTCCGTCACACTTCTGTATGCCTGCTCCCTCCGCACCCCTCCCCCCCTCTGCCCGCCCCCCGCCCTCCTCGCTCACTCCCTCTGTTCCCTGTCCGTTCCCCGGCGGGCTCGCCCTCAGGAAGCAGTTTGCCGAGCGGGCGGCCTGCGTGGGATATCGCGTACGGCCGCGATGTCCGTCTGCGTAAGGCCCCCGACGACGACGACGACGACGACATCGACGACGACGGCGACGACGACGATGACTACGACTACGACTACGACTGCGAGTACGACGACGAGTACGACGACGACGACGAGTAGTACGACGACGACATGTGTAGTCCATGTCCTTTCATGCGTGCATTCTTGGGGATCATCTTGGACTTGTTCGAAAGTCTTACTTAGCTCGAGGGTCAATGGGCCAAACCCGATCTAAGAATCCGTCGTTCAGAGTTGATGTTCAGGATCTCGTCCTTTTATACACTTCCTCTATGTCTGCTCCTCGCTGCTATCTCTATCGTCGCCCTCCTTGCTAGATCCGTCTCTCTCATCCCTCCTGTGCTTGCCATGCGTTTCGCTCGTTTTGTTGAGCTTGTTCAGCGCCCCTCTGGTGCGCATCCGCCGCCTGCCTCAACAAGGCACGAAGGCGCACGAGGAGGAACTGACAGCCCACGGGAGTCCACACGCAAACAACCCAGGCACCACCTAGACAGCCACTCGTGGGGAGAGAACCGCGAGAACACCCAACTATACATTCCAAGACAAAGTGCCGTGCCAACGAGCTGCGGCTGGCTGGGCAGCGCGCGGTCGCCTTCCTCCGAAGCCGCGCATCCGAGAGGTGATGATGAGGGCGGCCCGGGGGCGGCGAGACGCGGCCTCCCGAGGCGAGGGCGGCCGAGGCCCGCCCCGACGCGGAGCTGGCCAGGACCTGGGAGGCGACATTCCTCCATGCACACGCGAGGCTGGGCCCTGACATTTTCGAGAAAGGAAAACAAAGACAACCGACACACGCAGACAAACGCATGTCGTGCGATGCCCACCAGGAGGCGCTCCAACGCGCACGGCCGGGCCCAGTTCGGAGAGAAGAGCCGCGCGGACGTGTTCGAGAAAGCCTACCAAGCGTTGCACAAGAAGCACGAAGGAGCATCATGTTCGGAACGTGAAACTGCCCATTGCATCCAGAATGCATTGTTGCTGGTGTCGGTGCGATCACACGCTCAACGATGATGAAAATCAGAAGCCACATTCCCAGGACCCCAAGAAGAGGCACGCCAAGGTCAGCGCCGACCTCGGTGACTCTCTGAGAACAAAGCGCGGCGCTGGCCAAAATAACTGCGCTCGTGGAAGACCTACCTGGCGCGCCAACCAGCGAGCGGCCCTGCCAGCGCCAACGCACGTTTGCACAACCACCGACGCGAGCAGCAACCAATTCACATAGTATATTGTTCCTGGATGCGATGTAAGGTCGGCTTGGCTTCGTGCAAGACAGGGCACTCAAAGGAGGCGTGCCCTGTTACGAACAACGCAATCAAACACGCATACTAAAGATAATCAACGACTTGCGTGCCGCCAACAACGCACATGGCAATTCCGCTGCTTGAGAAACAAGACATTCAAGAAGTGAGTGTTTTTTGCACGAATTGCGCAACCATGCAAAAGACTTGCGCGCAACCAGCAACGCCAATGGCAGATGGCTGCTCCAATCGATCGCTCTACAACAACGCAGAAAATACACGCGCAACACGCAGAACATTGGGAGAGTGACGATCTTTTCATTGAGAGCAGGACCTTTCCAGATAAAAGCCGGGGCTGTTTACCTCATCAGTTGTGGTAGTTCATGTGTTTCTGGTGTGTAGAACTTCTATGTATATGTATGTATATATACACAGAATCTACAACCGTTGACAAGATTCGGACCAGTAATTTACAACATGCACTAGTTTTGTTTAAACGGTGTTGGGAAAGGGGCCCACGAACAAACGCCTCTTTTGGGGCGCTGCGGTCGAGGAGACTGCCGTTGCCAAGACGCACGCCCTTTCCGAACACGCACCTGATATTACTCGCGCCCTCTGGGACGCACAGCCGACCAGCCGAGCGCATTTCGTGGATAGATTGTGTTCTGATGTGCTGGCCAGGCTGTGCAGGTTTTCCCATTTGCGCGAGGTCTATCCAAATCTTAAACGCGCTTGCAAGAATGCGATGCACTTCGCATAGAGATTGGATAAGGCGTCCAATGGAAAGCCAACCTCGTTTTCGCGCGCTGTGAGGCGCTGCTTGGCTAAACTACGCATGGGTGGTTTCTGGCACACGGAATACCACAAGGCAGCCCAGGGGGCCCCCGTCTTCTAAACTCCAGTCGAGAAAGACAACCATGGCAGTTTCTAAGCGCCGCCGCCTGTATGAAATGATCAAAACATATTCCTACGTCAACGATATGATTCGACCATGGATGGGACTCGAGGAAGACGTTGCCGCCATTTGCTTGACCCACGAACACATGCTCACGAGGAAAACAGGGGGCGGCAAGGCGACTGTGATGAGCAGTCTCCAGCATGCGACGAGACGCGACGGTCTGGGTTGCGATCTGAACGTGTGCAAATACGATGCGAACGATCCTTCCGACGATGTCATATATGGCACGACCCGCAACAAGGGTTTCCGTAGGCAGCTGAATGCTTTCGATCGGAACGTGATGTCCCTGACTCGTCGGCACGCAGTCTGCGCTGCCAAAATTGCGACGATGCACGAGCTCTTCGCTTCGTTCGCGTCCCAACTGGCGCAGGATATGACGCATAGATTCGACGAGCACGAGGTCATCAGCAAATTCTGTGAATACCTGGTGGGCATGGCGCCCTTCAAGTTTTTCGCCTCGCATGCGCCGCTCTGTCCAGGCCAATGAGAGCGTGGACCTCTCGGAGCCCCCGCCCAATGCGAAGCGCACTCGCATGCGGCCAGCCAGTGTCGCGCCGTAGTGGTTTCACATGTGTTTCAAACTTTCGTAAATAGCCGATGCAGCTAGGAATCATCAGGACACCAGGAATGTGAATCAGAGAGAAAGAGAGAAAGAGAGAGAGAGAGGAGAGAAGGATAGAGAGAGCGAGAAAAAGAGAGAGAGAGAGAAAGAAAGAAAGAGAGAGAGAGAGAGAGAAAAAGAGAGAGAGAGAGAGAGAAGGATGCGTTTCATGTGGGGAGCTGCTACGCCAGATCAGGCCGCGGATCCAGGGGAGTCGAGCCGGATTGAGCAGGATCGAGACAGACAAAGCGGGAGCAAGCCAAATCAAACCAGATTCCAGTCCAGGGAAA